CGCAAGGACAGTCGCTCACGCCGACAGCAAGACCGCACGAGAGATAACTGAAGCCTGGGCCTCAGATGACAACTCAGTCAACTCGTGTACAGTGTTGGCGTCCGCTTAAATCGCCCTCCGCAGGCATATACGCACGACCGAAACTAGTGATTAATGAGTCTTCACCCTCCCCCTCTCTTCCTCCTCCTCTGTCGTGAGGGAGTATTTGAAACTTTGTGCGGATAAACGTGTAGCCAATAAAAATGCAGGAACAACGTTCAGCAGACTAGCAGGCGTTCCTCTACCCCTCGCACACTCCTTTTCCCCCCACCTTGCTAAACGACCTCCCCCTTCCCCGTATAGCAGTTGATTGGTGCCTGCCCCTTATAACTGTTGCTCGCTTTTCGTTGACGGTTTATCTCTGACGATGGACTCCCACAAGAGCCCGAAAGCTCAAAAGAATAAAATTAAGATTCCGGTGATCGCAACGACTTCTTATTCTAGACAAATACCTGGGATGCGAACCTTTGACTCTATTCATAATTAAAATGTGACAGCTTTTGGTAGACAGAAGTGAGAAGGCGGAAAACAAGGGGAGCCCTGTTGTGCTACGGACCACAAACAGAATAGCAAAATCCGAGGTGCACACTTGAAATTGATGGAAAATGAGCACAGCGCTGACTTTAATTAGCGCCAATTCTGACTAGTAATAGCGTCATCAATAGTACCTGTACTACTATACCGCAGTTACATTCTTAGTTAATAGTAATAGTATAGATAGCAGTAGCAGTACAACCTTAAGTTTCATTGATTCTGTCATGACGCTAACTGAAGATGAGGTTAAATAATGCGGTAGTAGGAGCGCAAAAGACAACTGTTAGGTAAGACTAATTTATGGGGCATTCTGGTCTGCATTGGAGAAAGCGGCCGACGCTCGATCCCGTTCGGTCATCTTGACTTTGTCTTGCCACCGGCTCAAACTGGTATGGGTTTAGAGTGAGGTAGACAGTGACGCGTCTATTTTTACTTAAACCTCGCCTTTGTCTCCAGTCGCCGTCCCCGTTATAGGGCATCTGGTGAAAATAGTCGAAATCGATGATCAAACAATCATCATCAATCGTAAATTTTTGTATTTTGCATACGATAGGCCATGCACTTAGCAATACCTGCAATGACGTGGGGGACTAGGTTCATTATCCGTCGTCAGCTAGCCATACCCGCTCCCAAGTGTTGCACTACCCGAGGCTCGAACCCACGACCTGTAGATCAGAAGTCTAAAGCTCTGAACATTGTCGGTGTCGCCTATGCTATCTGCCTTAACTGCCAGTCACTGTGTAACTGCTGGCGGGGCTCGAGAATGAGCTCCAAGTCACAGCGGGTCGAGTGAGTTCCGTTAACGATAGATGAACGTTCGTCAACGAAGTTGTCGTACTGTAATGCTCCGCCAGGAGCAGTCTACAATGAGGATAACTTCTCATAACTAATCAGCAGTTGTTTGCAAAACTGCCAGCGATGTCAAAAGGAATTTGAAGGAGGGTACCTAGCAATAACCGTAGTTTATACCATTAGAAAAGGTTCTAAATATAGACACTACCCATTTTTCTCCTTTTTGGCCGGCACTTCCCCCACCGTTACAACAATCGACAGGGATCTACTGTAGGGTCAACCAATAGCAAAATGCCCCCGTCCAAGCATCGTATGGGATTCGTGGTTGAATAAAAATTAAAGGGTCGTGTACACCATGCACCGTATAGGTGTGTGATTACAGCGCAATATGAAAGAAATTAAAGCTGCCTTTAATAGTTTTAATGAACTAAAATTAGGATGAAGACGTTATGGAAAAGACTAGAAGGGAAGCCTTTAAACCAAAAAAGCTATTAGAACCACTCTATTGGTTAGCATAGTGAAGGAAATGTTTCGATAGGCAGAAATTTGACCTACTAAAATTGACAAGGACATTTTTGTATTATTGATACCCTCATTTAGGTGGCCGTACGACAAAACCCTACCAAGTAACCTAGCACCCGGTATGAAGTCGCTAGTTTACCGATTTGAGTGCTTCCGGTACATCAGTCTACTGACATTCTCCTAGGATCTTTTAACAAAAAACCCAGCTCTTTTCACGCGGAATTCTGAAACCGTTATACATCAATTGAATAAATGTCACAAAATCCAGAATCCCGACAGTCTGTGTTTTAATGCATAGGTTTTCTAGTGCCTATAGCTGTAGGCTTACTGAACGAAGCTTCCTACCTTCACAGAACTGCAAAGGAATGCCGCTGTAGACGAACTGGGTCCGAAAATAGGCTGGATCTTTTGGATGGGCTGGATCTCTGGTGCCCGTACACCTATAGGTGCCACGGGTCAGTGTTGAATCAATGACCGGAGCGTTCCCTGTGTACGGCACAGAGGAAGAAACGTTCGTAGGAAAGAATCCTGGGGCACACTGGACTGTCGTCGTCACCCCAACGTGTGGCGGCGTCGGGGTGAAGACCATTAGGGAGGAGTTGAATCCACCCGGTGGGTCAACGCAGTCGGCAACTATATGAAGGCGAAAGATAAGTCGTTGTAACATGCATACATATTTGTAGGCAGAAATTAATAACCGTCGAAGACAAGGGAGACTGGAATGACAATTTCTGGCTAACTCCGCGTCATCAGCCAGCCATATCCAAACGTAGGGGTAGCGACCACCCCACGCCTAGAACACGTGTTCTGTTGATTAGAAGTCTAGCGCTCTAACTACTGCGCCAAAGGCCTGTCCCTTTGACGGTTTCGATCTGGAATATATATGCAATGGTAGACAGGTGCTCACCAACCGGTTAAATAACAGTAATTATAACTTCTAAAAGACTTACAACTAACAAGATCGCTGGTTTGAGCCTCGGAGGTCGCCCACACTGGGGTTGGGGATGGCTGGCTGATGACGGCTAATAACCCAGAAGTAGCCATGCCAGTCTCCCTGGTTTTTACCGGCAATGTATTTCGGCCCATAATATGCCGTTGAACGGCGCCTGGCGAGACTCAAGAACGCACCAAAGACAAAACGTGAAGAGTGCGTTCCATAACGGATCGGAGGGCGCTTGTCTATTAATATATATATATTTATATACTGAAATACCGACATCCCAATAGATATAATTTTTATGCAGCTAAGTTCTTCGAAAGCAAAATGACGTTTTTTTAATGTAGAGTTTCGACACTGGTCCCCCAGCTCATCGTCAGACGCATGGAAACTGTACAAAAACAAGGTAGCTTAAAACGATAACTAACGCAAGATTCTATCCAAGATTATGGCTGCGCTACTAGGCGAGAAATGTATCATCGTCAAAGGAGATCAACTAGAATCAGCTAATCAAATTAAGTAATTCAATTTACCTTCGAAACAGGATAGTGAACAACTCACATTCTTAAGTTTCCTCGTAAACAGTTTGCTTACTCGAATAAAGACTCACTGTTCGGAGGAAGAAGCATATTGAACAGAAGTAAAATAACTTTTCAAACTATGTTTTCGAAAAGGGCTATCCTCCCAACTTTGTTCGTTAATGCATATAGCGACAACAGTACAATGAAAAAGGTGATTTCGGGACTACAGCCACTCAAGCGTCAAAACCAACGAAATGATGAACATTTCCATCTGTAAGGAGTACAGTTGGGTTCGTCAAAAGACTGCTAAGAAAAGGCCAAAAACAAATTGCGCAGAAGCCCACATATAATTTACTCGTTCAGCTTGTACACTCTAAGGACAGGGGTGGCTATTTCCATAGAAGAGAATTTGTACACAAAATACTGTGTACCAATTGCGATGCAGTCTGTTGTGGCTAAACTGGGAAATGCGCCTCAAATGGCATTCACTGACATAAATCAGCTGCCAGAAGATGAGACCATGTCGGCCAAACCAATACATATCTATCTACCCGCATACATGAACACCACTTAGCGGTAAGGAGACGAGACCACGTATCCCAGATTGCTATGCATACACTATACACAGAACACACATAAGCATGGGAGGAAGCCCAAATCTTTGGTGCCCGTCCAACTAAGAAGGGCACTGAAGTCCTCGAGGCATGCATTAATAGGCGTATCAGTTTGGATGCTATTTATCAATTTTTGAAGGCAGGTGGAAGCATAAATCACCACTATCGAATGGATAACTAATGGAGATGACGTCTTTTGACTAGCAGTCACAGAGTATAAAATTGGCAGCGGGGCGCGTTCTGTCAGGGACCAACTCAAAGGAATGTGCAAACAGCCCGGACGAAGAGTTGCCACGAAAACCGACCGGTTAGTCCAGTTACAGTGCACTCGATAACGCCACACAGGTGCGGCCGGCGCAGAACTCTAACGCAGCTAGCACGCTAGCAAGCGCTCCACCCACAAAAGTTCATTGTCTAACATTGTGCTCAGCCGCCAGCTACAGCCGGTGCAAGACTACCACGCCAACTCTCATGACTTACACAGCCAACGAAGTCATCCCTTTCTTGTGACCACCATCTAATTGGTCCAACCTTGCACATACGTGTTCGCTTGTTTTAAATTATGCTGAACTAGGTTTATCGAAGACTTCTACTTTCTGCATAATTCTTGTTGTGTTCTTCCTTCGGCGCTTACACGAGACATAGTTAGACGGCAAATATTGCAGCCTTGGCCACCGTTATAACACGTTCCTCCTACCTCTTTTAAATAAAAATTAAAATGCACCGATGTTGCGTTGATAGTGTTATCACCCACGCCCAGTACGTGTAATTAACACGAACTGTGGGCTTCCCCAACTGTTGTCTCACTCAACACAAGAGAGGAAAGGAAGACAATCGGCCAAGAGCAGATTGTGTTCACAATGAGCAATTCATTCTCACTTAAAGGCTGCATCCGCTTAATGAGAGGGAGCCGAACAAATTATCACATATACACACCAATCAAATCTGACGAGAGATCTGTGGCCATGTTGCAGGCGCACACTGTCATTTCAGGCAGTTTGACGGCTCACGCGGGTTCCCTTCTGTGCGATGACTAATAGCGGGAATGGAGGTATTCGCAATAGGTAGTTGAGGCAGGACTTACTGGGGTAATATTTCTTTTTACCAAGGAACTGCACGCTAAATCCACAGATTAACTGTAGTTACAAAAAGGAACAGATCATATTGCAGGCTGTTAAATAAAGCAGCCTTCAAAAAAACATTCCAAATGTTGCTCAAACAGCGCACCTCTATGAGAACAAACCACTGCATAATTTTCGTCGCATCCGACATTATTCAGACGGGGCACATTCTTCCATTCCGATTTGGAGCGTTGGTTTTCGTAAAAGAAGATAATGCAGTCGCCCAGACCCAAGCCTCCCGACCAGGGTACAAAGTCGAGGACAGCAACGTCACTGGTGTGGTTCCACACAAATTGCTTGGTTGGACCTAAAAAAAACCGGGTGAAAAACATAAGGCAACACAGAAAAGAACTAAATTCGGCAGCGTTGTTGTGTAACCAGTCGCGTAAATGGTAGAACAGATACGGGCTCACAGATTGGTTACAGGACACCCTCACGGGAATCACCACAGACGCGTTCCCATCCGCCCTCACGGTGGCCAAGGTCTGCTACACCAATCTTCCAATGGTGGATCTATCTCCCCTTCTTTCCATCTGTGC